GGTGGCTATTTTGAAGAAACTAGAATATAAAACATGTTTTCAGTTATTTCACCTTTTTTTGTTAAGTACATAACTCCACATGTGTTCATTCATAGTTTTGATGCCTTCAGTGAGAATCTACAATGTAAATAGTCATGAAAATAAAGAAAACGCATTGAATGAGAAGGTGTGTCCAAACTTTTGGCCTGTACTGTATATAGCCTACATGTATATACAAATACATTGAGAAAAAAATCCCTGCATCAAAGCTGTACCTTGATGTTTCTTTCTTTGTTTCTTGATATATTTATTTATTTTTTAAAAGCTAACAAAGTATAAAATGGCCTTGTTGCTGTCTCGAGGGAATTTCTGCGGGCTTGAAACTGTTCTCCAGTGTTTGTTGATTCAGTGCAGCCCGTGTCGGAGTTAACCTGCCTGAATTAGCTGTTTTCCGTTGAGTGTCTATTTTCGGTGTCTGTTAGGGGTGTGCCATATCGCCTTGTTCACGATAATACTGGTATAATCTTTAATATGGTATGAAAAATTCCTATTGTGATACTCGCGATATTTTGACTTGTTGACATATTGACGTCATACTGTTACCCATGGCAACAACAAGCATGGCTGAAAGCGAAATTATTACAGACTCCGCGGTGGTTCCAAAAAGAGGAGCAGCTTTAGTAGTGTGGAATGAACTGTGGCGTCCTGAATGTTTTATGAACAGCCCCAGACTTCTCAGACTCTTTTAGTGACTTACCGCTCAGAGGGAACCCATTCAGCGGCCCCTCTGGCAGCAGCTTAGCGTCTCTCTCTCTCTCCTCTCTCGCCGTGCGCACACAGGAGTCGGTGTTGTCAAGTGATTTTGTCATAAAACTTTGGTAATGTAAACCTACGTGATGCTCACAGCTCGACAAAAAACTACATATATGTGAATGTGTGATAGTTGTGGTATCATAACGGCCTGTCACAGGTTACAGTGTGATGATTAGAGGAGAAATGGCAGAGCATAAAGGTCCAGGTGGAAAAAAAACAACTCAATCATTTAGGATTTTGCTAAAAGACGGAAATCAACTGTTGATTTATATATATATATATAGTTCCCAGGGGACATTTATTGTATTTGGGAGCTGTTTAAATGTGTAATTTGTGGCAGATTTTATTTTGTTGAACTATTAATGTTGTATACAGAATCTGAATCTCACTCTGAGTTACTGTTGTTGTTCACAAACTGAAGAAATGAGAGATAATTTTTGTTCAATTTTTACTGAATATTTGAAGGCAAGCTGTAAAACTATATTATTTATTTTGTTGCAATTCTATTTTCTTAAATTAATAATGAATTATTTTTTTTAAACTTATTTTTCATATCGTCAAGAATATTGTTATTGCCAAAATACCCTGAAATATTGTGACATTATTTCAGGGCCATATTGCCCACCCCTATTGTCTGTACATGTTTTGCACAGATTAGGCTACATAAACATTGTGGCATGTGGCGTTGTGGTTAGTGTGGTTGTCGTAAGCTCAGCACCGCTGCCTGTCTCCCTCTCGCAGGGTGCAGCATAGATGACAGCAGATTGCTTGAGACTTTCACACTGAGCTGAAATTAAATGAGTCCTCATAACTTTAGTAAATAACACAAGTAAACAGTTTGCATTTTGCTGTCATTTATGACGTGGTGTTTTGCCGCAGGTGGGACTCAGCCCCTGCTCTACACTCAGTAGAGACAGACAGCGAAGACTTGACAAGCGTGAAACCTTTGCGAGTAAAATGTCTGTGACAGCAGACGTAAAACAAAAGATTGGGCTCTGTATAGCTCAACATAGCCGATTTACGATCACTTAAAAGATGCCTTGATCGGCCCGGATACAAATACTTTAGATCGGATAGGGACTTCCTTTGTTGCAGACCTTAAAGTCATGCTCCAGACGTCTTTCTGGTAATGCGTATTTGCTCCAGATAACCAAACAGAAATGTTTCTTTAAATCCAGATGTCGTTGGTTTCGTTCAAATCTTTCGTTCAAACCACACCTGCTGCTGTAAAGCACCAGATCATCGTCCTTGCATGTAGACTTGATGTCTCATTGTATCCACTCTGCATGCTTTGTGACGGGACTGGGAGCTCACTTTTTTGCATACACTATGCAAAGCAGCCAGAAGGTGGGTGGGTGGCATGTCCCTTTTAGTGGCAGCAAACCAAACATGGTCCTGGAGGTGTAGACTCACCAGAAGTTCAGTTGCTAAAGTTACTTTTTCTTTGTCATGGAGGGATTTGTCTTGTAGGGCTCTCTGGTTGGATCTGAAAGAAATAATAGCGAGCCGGTTTTGCCTGTGTCACTTTGGCAGCTGCTGTGAACCCCGCACTGCTGTAAAACGTGGAGTCTTTTTGTTGTCTCCAGGGTACGATATCCTGATGAGCCGGTAAAGGGCAGACGTTGAAGTAATGGCACTTCCACCCCACGGGCAGGTACTTTCTCGTTCGTCATGTTGCATTTTCACTTGGATGAATGGCTGAGATCCAGAGCAGACCATCCTGAGGCTGTCTGATAAATCTGATCTCATTCCCATTGTGCATGTGCACCTTGAAGTAATGTCAGTTTTTCTTCGTATTCTAATACAAAGGGGATTTAATACCTGTTTGTAGAGCACTCAGCTTATTTTCATTATTGATCAATCTGCCTAGTATTTTATTGAGTAAGAGTTTGGTTTATAAAATGTCAGAAAAAGGTGAAAAATCCCCATCATTATTTCACAAAGCCCAATTTAAAAATGCTTGTTTTGTCTGACAAGCAGTTATTCAGTTTACTATCACAGAAGACTAAGAAAGGAAACTGATGTCATTGATTAATTACCTGATAACTGTACAGCTTTCTATTTAACAGGTAGTTTGTTTGAAGTGCACCTGGATCTCAATACTGAGTCATGTATCATAATCATGTTGTATGTTCTGCATTACCCTGTGATTCCCACCAACCTCGAACCCAATCCTGCACGCACATGTCGCTGTGAATAATAATATGTGCTAAATAGCAAAACATGAGCTACAGAAAATGTAGAGTCCCGTCTGATCTGCTCTGTGTAGTTGTGTGTTGTAAGAAAGCTGGCTGTGCCCACTGAGTGTGGGAAGAGTATCAAAGCTTTAGTGTTATGCAAGGAGAGATTCCAGGAAGCTGAATGTCAGGATTGAAGTGTCTTCTTCCTCCATACTGTATGTCTGTCTCTTCATTTGCGTCTTCTTCACTCACTCCTGAAAGCACAGCGTCCGTCTCTATTTTTATCGCTGATGTGGGCCGTGGGAGCCGCCTGGGAGAGAGAGCGGCACACCGATCAATTTGGATACCTAGAACAACTAAAACGAGCTTGCGAACTAATTAAACATTGTTTGCAGCTTCTGATGAGGAAGGCTGGGATCTGAGCAGTGGCTTAGTGCTAAACATTGTTTTAGTTTGTTTAAGGAGGATGTGATCTCCAGCCCCGCAGGGAGATGCACACTCTAATTTTGTATGTATATGGCTGTATTTGTAAAGGCGGTTGTGCTGTTCAAATAGAGTTCTCTGTGACTCGCTTCATGAGTTGCCAGGTAGAGGATAAGATTACATTAATGATTGTGCCTGTCTGCAGGCAACACAGACAGACAAGTGTCTTTTCTTTCTCACACACACCCTGCACTGCCCTGCCCTGCCCTGAACAGGGCCTCAATGCCCCAGGCGCTCAGTCAGTAATATTACAGGAACCATTATGTTTTGATAAGCTGCGTTGCATGTGTTTGTTTGTGCGCACCTGAGGACATACCACAGTGAAGTTGCTTTAGGCTCAGGGTATAAACTGTACGAACTTTAGAAGTTCTGCAGCTGTATATTGCAGCCAACCCAGTCACCATAATAAATGTTTGCATTGTATTTTTGGATACCACAGATACATAACATTTGTACACTATTATGTAGCAGATATGTTGAAACTGAAGGTTTTGACAACCTGTGGTTAACTTGTGGTTATGTTTAGATACAAAAATCACTCATTTATGGTAGGAAAAGATCATATTTTGGCTTTAAATACCTGCTTTGGTGGCACAGACCTGCTGGAAGCTTAGCAATGACTGAGTAAAAAACACCCGCAACAATTATTTTTTCATTGTCAGTTAATTTGATTACTTGATTTTCTCAATTAACAAATTAGTGGTTTGGTGTAAAATGTCAGAAAATGAACAAATAAATGTCAATCAGTGTTTCCCAAAGCCCAACATGACATCCTTATATGGCTTGTCTTGTCCACAACCCAATGATATTCAGCTTATTGTCATAGTGGAGCAAAGAAACCAGAAAATATTCACGTTTAAGAAGCTGGAATCAGGGTATTTTTTACTTTTTTTTACTCAAAAATGTACTCAAACCGAATGATTGATTATCAGATTAGTTGCCACACATTCATTTATTTGTGGCAGCCCACCCTGATTAAAACATCTACCGCCACGTTTTGATTTTCTATTTTTGGACCACTCATTAGGAGCGCTCTTGGAATATGTATACCGCTCGGCTATTTGTTACTTCACACTCTCACAGTGCAGAGCATACTCTGGGCACAGAGGGAGCAGTAGAACGTCAGACGCAGTGTAAATAAAACTTAACTGTTTATTATGCTGGCTCTAAAAGTTTGATTTTAAAGCTCTGATCAGATCGAGTGAACAATTATCCACCCCTTGATTTAAAACTTCACAAACTGCTGCTGGGTAAAAGAAGAACTCATGAAGAGCTCCGCCAATGCTGCGTTCCTAAACATGCAAAAACCTCAAAATTTAGAGACTGACACACAAGGACACACAGGCAAGAGAAACATGGAGATGCAGCTCAGCTCATTGACATTCACCATCGCCTCCACCTCACGATGACCTCAGGTTAGCTCATATATGTAGTCAGAGCTACAAGTCACTTTAAAAAACATTGATATAACATGTATGAAATGTACAAATAAAACAAATCTGTGGTTTGCAGAAAAGTGCAGTGCCAGCATTTCCTCCTTGCAGCTGTGAGATTTATTGATATAGTTATGAAGTGTTCATTTGGTCATTTTGTCCACTCAAATGAATATTACTGTCTGTAAAGTTTGAAACACTGCTATTTTCCAAGATTTGAATTTCAAATTTGAATCAGACAAGCAGTGACGCAGATGTGATGGAAAGCTGATTGTTGTGTGGATATCCCGCCCACCTGTGTTAAGGCACACCCTGCCTGGGTGTGTTTCCTCCCCGGTCCCCAAGTTCTCTGCCTCAGGGAGCCACAGTGACTGTGCGTCACCTCTCTGCTCAGCTGTCCTTGCATGGCCTTGTGTTATTACTGGCAGTGTGTTGCCGTCCCTCGAGATACATGATCTACGGTGTGATTCAAATACGGTTGTAACAGTTATTTGAAGCTTAATGTTAAGTAGTATGAGTTACTTGCTCCTGCAGGTAGTGCTAATGTCAGTGCTGTTTCATACCAGGTCACTTTAAAAATGATTTAGTGAGCTTGGTAGTGCCATAGCCATAGTACGGTACCATTTGCATTCCTTCTGGGAGAGATTTTTTTCATAGGTATGTGACTTTGAAACCCCAGGAGAGGGGTGTGTCACACACAGATACTCAGATTAATCTTTCCTCTTAAAGATTTATTTTTGGGTGGACAACAGACATCAGAAGAGGATTTTGTTAAACAGATACGATGACGATAGTCTGCTTGTGTTGGGGGAAAAAAAGAAGCAGTGTTTGTTTACACACATGTAAACAAGGTGGTCCTAAACATCTACGCACTGTCATTCCTCTTGGCGCATGCTTAAGACGCTAGCTCAGGTCCATTTCAGACCAACGGGATACAGAGGGAGAGGTGCTGCCCGGATCATGTGCTCAGAGAAAAGCCAGTCGGAGCAGGAGGCAGAGCGAAGACGAAAGCGCATAATTGGCTCTCGGTGTGTAATCTTCAGGGTTTAGAGGCAGAGGGAGGGACAGACATGCACTGCATGCACACACTGCTGATAGTGCTCAGATTCCTGTTGGTGTGCGAGACTCTGCCTTGATATACTCACTGTTGCTGTGCGACAGCCACTGACAGGGACTCTGTGTTTGTGCCTTAAACCAAATAGCTCACAGGGAAAGTGCTTCTTTTTCAAGCGTCTCACAGGTTTATTTTCTGTCCTCCAATGACTGATAAAGTGCTTCGCTCCTCCTTTTCATCCACCCACCCTTCCATATCTGTGGAGTAATTCTGCCTGACCTAGTTGAGCCACATGCTGAGGAGCGTACACAGTCTGCACAGTTTGTGTTATTATAGCTGATCACACAACTTTGTGAGCTGTAAGTAAGATAAAAGAATTTCTATCAAATAAGAGATTGAATTTATGTTGCCTGTAAAGTGTTACGCTGTTCGCGCTGTTTGTTTGTTTGCACTACCAGAAAAGGGGTTATAGAAATAGTTTTTATAATGGTTCCACTGAATTTCGCAACTCCTGCCCTGTCTCCTGTTAGTCATGTCTGAATGTTGGCCTTGACTCTGCCTGCCTCTTCTGCCAGGTGGGTGTGGCCCTGTGAGTCACAGCTGCACAACGAATGGCAAAGTCAAAATTTACAACACTCGTGGTGTGTTTCCACTTACGGTTGGCTTTGGATTGCAGTAAGTGCGGTAGAGTATTTCTCTCAGCCTACTTGCATACTTTGGGATGTTTATCAGGCTCGTTGTTCCAATTGGACTTTCAGAAACACACTGTGCCTATTCTTTTGTCTTGTTTTCTCCCTCCCGTGTGAGTGAGTCACTTCCTGTTAGGCCAGCTGCCAGTTTCAGGGAACAACAGCATCACAGCGCTCTAAATGGACTGTCTGTTCCCGTGTTTTATTTGTTTTTGCTTGAAAAGAAAGCCTCTCTGAAGATGACACACACATCAGGAAGAGTGCAGGATATCCCTGCGCTGTATTGATTTGAGGTCGGAGTCGCTTGAGGCCTGTTTGCTATCTCCAAATTAATTTCCGTGCTGCAGACATTAGAAACATCCCTCCATGTGATTAACTGTCATGCAATACCTCCTTTCATGAAACCTCTTTTTTTCTCTTCTCTTTTTCCCCCATTTTCTAACTTTCACACTCTTTCTGCTCCACCCTTCCCTCCCGCTGCTCTCAGCTCCAGCTACTCCTCAGCAGCGTTGGATTTTGAGAAGGAGCACCAGATTGCTGCCGTGTACGAGTCGCCCAGGATGTCACGGCGGAGCCTGCGTCTGCAGACCGGTGCTGGTCACTATGGCAACGAGAGCCAGGCTGATTACTCCCAGAACTACAGCAACAGCAGCAGCAGCTACACCAGCACCAGGAGAGAGACACGGTGAGGCTAGCAACGGTTACATATTTCGATATCATTGATAAAACTACAAACTACAAGATATAATTTTAAAGAAATAGTTTGACATTTAAATGTGTCAGCTATTGTGGTGTGGAGGGTCTTGGTAGGATCAGAGGTGGGGGCACTGAAGTAAAATGTATACTGACAATGTGAGATGCAATATCGAGCTCAGATTGGCACCAAAACATCAGGCCTGACCCTACATGAACCTGCACAGTTCAAGCTCAAACCTGAGTCATGGCAGCAGTTTTGGGCCCGAGTCTGGTTTAAAAAAAAAAAAAAAAAAAGGAATATAAGGAATATGACTTGCAACAACCACAGTGAAATGTGGGGTACACTGACTTCTGAGGACTGCTTTTAAGTATTGTAAGGAGAACTGTGCGTCCAGTGTGGGTTAAGTGTACTGAGTGTTGACATTTTTACAGTTGAGTTAGTCATGTCACAATACCAGAAATTTAGTAGTTGATACCTATACCAGTGAAATTCAGCTATTCTTGATGCCCAAATCAATACCACAATAAAAAACTAAATCAAAACAATAAATCTGATGGGCTTGAACGAACACTCCTTTTATTGTAAACATTCAAATGTAATTTTATTTAAATTTTATTTTATTGAAGAAAAATGAATACCGTCACAATTTCAGAATTTTGGCATCAACTTTGAACCAATGTATCGATTCCTGTGACATCAAGTGCTCAAGGTCCTAAGTGTGGGTTGTGGGACAGACTCTACAGCACATATCTTTCTCATGATCTCAACATGCCTCTGTCATACTTGTATTTAAAAAAAAATAACTCATAGGTTTCTGTCTTCTGTCTCCCAGGACACTGCGCAGCAAAAAGCAACAGTCCAGTCCCACGCCCCTGTCTTTATCCTTGAGCCAAGCTGCCACACCGAGGAAAACCCTCTCCTTCTCAGCCGTTAATACCCCAATTCACAGCAGCATCATTCAGGAAAGCAACACAGCGTCCGATGCCTCTCAGCTCAACTCCATCCTGGACCAGTCCCAACTGAGACAACGCACCATCACCACAACCACAACCACCACGTCTACTGCTGTGGATGGACACTGGGGTCAGTTGTTGAAAATGTGGACTGCATCGCAAATGACCCATTATGCTTTTGCAAAATTCAGAAATTATTTGAGCAGACGATATGGAGGTATACAGTAAATTACACCATCCAGCAGTTTAAAGTTTGTAAGATTAGCTCTACAGCAGCCAGCTGCAACATTAAAATGCACATTACATGCTATACAGCATCAATGATAATAATCCCATAGCATAATATACATATATGTAACACTGTCAAAGCCCATTTTGGCTACAAAGAGGGTACTTTTCTACTCAAATTGTACTTAAAACATACCTAAATTTTTCCAATACCACTTGCAAACTTGTACTGAAGATTATGAATGCTACTATGAATAGCTACAGATAAAGTAATAGCATAATTGCTTAGTAATGACTTTATGAATTTAACCGTTTCCCTGTGTTTTTGACTTAATGATTTTTTTTTCGGTATGCATGTTGTTCACTCTCAGGGAGGAGCTTCAGCAGAGACCACAGTTCATCAAGTGTCAACGGCGATGCCAGCGCATCGAAGTCCCACACCTCACTCGCCAATGGTTACATCTGCAAAGACTGCTCTTTTCACGCTCAGAAGACGGACTGCTCTATTACACGTTCTTCAGCATCATTATCATCATCATCTCAGGCTGCAGAAGCTTCCTCTGACGCCCTCTCCTTCTCCTCCACCTCATCACCTTTCACAAGTATATACACAAGAGACAGGAGTCGAAGGAGCAAGACAGGTGAGAAGCTGTTGACCGAAATGACATATTTGAAACGCAGATTGCTGCTGCTCACATTTGTCCTCCTAAATATTGAAGTTATAGGAGCTGGAGGGTGAAATCGCCAGAATGTTGCGACAATGAGAATATAATTTGGAAGTGGTGTCTCTCTCCAGGTGTCCTGGTGTCTATGTCTAACACGTGTATGCGCTACAGCAAACGAGCCCTGGCCCCCATAGTGTCCTTAGTCACCCTGCTCTTCAACAATGTGCTCTGGCTGGGTTCAAGGGCCAAGAGCCCTCCGGGAAAAGGTACACAACAAGAGACGTTCTTTGCTCTTCATCCATCACCCATCATTCTCTGTTTTTCTTCTTCTGTCTTTTGCGGAGGGAATTTTTCCTGAGGTGCTCAGCTCAGTGATCTTAAGGAAAAACTGGCAGACTTTACGTGTATTTCTTTTCTGCAGCTTATTCGAAATCTCCACTTTCTGTTTGAGCAGATTTCTTACCATCATTCGCACAGATCCCTCGTTTTTCTCACATTTACGTCCCCTAAATGTCCGACCTTGACTATACTGACTTGCATCTGTGCAAAGTTTGTCACATTTTTCTTCTGGAGGTACGATGTCTGTGCGCTTCCCCAGGAGAGCAAGATTAGGTACATCACCTATATGAAAGAAATTCATTGTCTTAATACAGGTAACACGTATCGAAAGGGGAACAAACTTTAACACAAAACAGCCAAAGAAACCTGCAACCTTTAGCGCAGAGCAGACTTGTCAGTACAGAGAGCGAGAGTTCGCATAAGCATAGTGAAAGTTTTGCCAGCAAACATGGTAGAGTGTGCAGTTTTTGGATGCAAACTGAACCCTGGAGCTGAAAATCTACTGCTAGCAGCAGAGGCGGGCGAAGACAGATTCAGAGTTTCTCAGTGAGGGAGAAAAAGTGGATGTGCTTCTAGCCGCCTTTCAGAGTTTTTCTTTTTTACTTTGTAGGTGTGAATACGATCGATTTTTACATACTTGAAGTGTGTGGACTAAAGCTGGAGTAGGCAGTTTGATTTTGGAGTCATTGGGCAAAAATCCCGTAATAAACTTTGAGCATATTGTAATTCAAGTGGTCTGAGAGAAAACTAGTCAACTGCACCTTGTATTGGCTCTGTTTTCAGGCTTTAGAAAATTTAGGCTGTGACGGGAGACTTTGGTCAGTCAGTCATTTCAGAGAGAGGGCGTTCCTGTTGGCTGTTCTACAAATGCAAATGCAGTTTCTTCGTCCCTTCAGATGGTGAAAGCCTGATTCAATGGTGAAGAGTCCTGCAGAGAAAGTTGCTTTTCAAGCATTGGCAACAGCTGCCTACACTGCAAAGCAACCCAAAAAACAGAGACTTATCAGAAAGAGAGTCTAAAAGAGAGTCTGACAATAAACAAAACAAGCAAATATCAGTGAAGTGCTTTAAAGAGAGAAAATGTTGCTTAAAGTTTAGCCCTCTGCTAACCACGGGAAAAAGGCTAATGTTAATGCTCTCCCCTTGCACAGCACCTGTGCAAGGGGAGAGCGGGCAGCAGCTCCGGAGACGGACTCCCTGCCAGTGACTGCAACACCCCAAATCCAGCCAGATGCTGGAAGATTTGCTCTGGCTGAATTTGAGCTGCTACAGCCATAAACTAAAGGTCGGTTGCTGGACCTGCTGCCCACTTCCTCTCAGGGATGCAGTCCACAGTGGCGGAGAGTGAGGCTGAGGGACCGTTGGGTGGCTAGTTAGATAATTATTTATTAATCATCTGTGGTCTGATAAACAGAGAGAGGGGGGAGGGCTCTACAGGGTTGTAAGAGTAAATAAATCAATGTATGGTTTACACTGGGTTACTGTCTGAAGCGTGTGTCTGTGCACACGGTTGTCTGGTGGGAGGAGCTTAGGACAGATTTCTGCCTACGCCAGCTTTAATGTTTCTGCCTGAGTCGTGATCTATATCTATTTCTCACGAAACCTTCTTACCTTCCTCTTATCAGGCTTCTCATAGCTTCCTGTCATATGTCTCTCAGGGCATCCTCAGGGGATTTTTCTATCATCCACCTCACTTCCCCCTCATCCTATCACCCATTTTTTGTATTACTTTCTGTCGTTAGCCAGCCTACGACTGTGCCTTTTGACTAACAGTGATTGTACATGGCTGGCGGTTGTGTCACCAGGTGTCCTTGCATCATTCTCGGACTCGATGAGACAAGCGGTGTCCTCCAGTTTGTCCCAACTGTGGCTGTTTAAGCAGACCACTCTCCACAGGATGATGGGCTACAGGGCTAATGGCTATGAAGGACAAGGTACCAGCCGAACTACAAAGGGCAAAGGTCAAGGGTCCGAACCCCTGACTTCCTCTGCTGCTCTTCTGTTAATAAACTCTCTTGTCACCATTTCTCTCCTTCCTAAGCTCTTACTTTTTTATCGAAGGAATAAGAAGCCTCATGTTGGCATAAAAATGTAGTTGAATTGACTTTGAAGGATCTGTCTCATCTCTGTTTCTTCCTCAGTCCATCCAGCGTTCATTTTCACACTTTCAATTTCTATCTCTGAAGGAGGAAGTATACTAGAAACAAAATTAAACCTGTACATCCCCGAAAACACCATTTCCTAAATTCGGACAAACTATCACATGATGAGTTGTACCAAAGAGACACCGTTACTCCTACCTCTTGAAAAAATCTGCAGTTTTCATGTTTCAAATTGTGCAAGGTTAGTTTTATTTCTAGTGTCCTCCTGACTTAAGCTGGTTCTCTCACAGCTGCAGAAGAATTCATCAACTCTCATTTCTTTATTCTCATTTCCAGCAGTTGTCACAGTGTCTCCTCTTAAACTGTTTTCACCTCCGTCCTCATTTTTCTCACGATGACATCGAGCTCCTCCGCTGTCACATTGGTGACATGCACATTTACTCTTCTTCGTCCGTCGTTCACTTCGTCACAATTTTCTCACGCGCCATGTTTTTTGTTATGTAAATAATCATGTTGTTTGTATGTTACAGCTCACTCAAGTTTCTGTGGAAGCATGAACGTGAAGGATCTGGTGACTGAAGATGCTTCACATCTTAATCTCAATGGTTCCCTGTGTAAGCAGACACACAAAACACACATTTTCTCTTTCTCTCTACACGCAGTACGTTCTCTTGTGGAAGCCGTGATTGACAGAGTTAATTATATGCATGACCTATTTTAGGACCAGGGAGCAGAGGTTGTGTGAACTGCTCTAACCAGTCAGCAGCCTGTTGACCGTTGTGACCTGCAGACACTTGTCTTTCAGTCAAGTTAGTCCTCCAGATCTGTTTCAAGCAACCATTTTAAAACCAAAATTTTAAAATAAATTAACTTCAGGTTAACAGCCCACTTAGTTCAACAACTTAGTTTAGTTCTTAATTTGCACTTAAAGTATAAAAACACATAACAGAGATTAAAGCTGTAGTTTTTTTAAACTGTCACTACATTGACACGGCAATAACTGAGACAGATAATTTGTGAAATCGTAATATTTGCCCTCTGATGGCATTACCGTACGTGAATGAAAACAACCAGTTAGAGGCAGGGAGTCTTTAACGCAGCTGTCAGTAGCCCTTTTTGTTTTTAGATTGCACTAAAGGCCTGCGACAAAGTCCCTTCTTGATGCCACCTTTGCATTTTTACACAGAACCAAACAATGGCGGCATCATGCTGCTCGAGTGTGTGATTTTTTTTTTTTTTTTCGACAGCAGTTTACAAAGCAAAACATAAAATATGAAAAGCAGTATTTTCTCTTGCTGTTGACTGGTCTTTTGTATGATACCGCCACAAAATCAGGTCTTAAAGGGATAGTGTATCCAAAAATGAAAATTCAGCCATTATCTACTCACCCTCATGCCGATGGAGGCTCAGGTGAAGTTTTAGAGTCCTCACAACACTTGCGGAGATCCCAGGGGAGAGGGGGTAGCAACACAACTCCACCTAATGCAGGCTGACAGCGCCCCAGATTCATTTGAAATTCAATTGAAACCACAAGATATCTCCATACTGCTCGTCCGTAGTGATCCAAGTGAGGCTAAAAACAGAGTTTAAATGACGTTTTTCCAAACAACTTTCTATGTCGGGGCTTCAGGACACTTGGATCACTACGGACGAGCAGTATGGAGATATTTTGTGGTTTCAGTTATGTGTTTTTGGACGTTTGAATCTGGGGCGCCATAAGCCTCCATTAGGTGGAGTTGTGTTGCTACCTCCTCTCGCCTTGCATCTCCGTAAGTGATGTGAGGACTATAAAACTTCATCTGAGCCTCCCTCGGCATATGGGTGAGTAGATAATGGCTGAATTTTCATTTCTGGGTGCACTATCCCTTAAGGGTCTTGCAAATTTCACCCACTTCGCCCAGAATTTAATGAACACATTTTTCTGAGGACAGAGAGAAAAAGTAATCTTTTCCATAACATAAATATCACTTACAATATCTGTCCACTCCTGTAATGTGGGGTGCTCAGGAAGCAACCAGCGCATTGTGTGGGCTTTCTTGCAAGCAGATATCAAAATACCAAACATATATTTGTCTGAACACTTTGCCTTAAAATCCATGCATCCTAAAAATAATGTAGAAAATTGCAAAGGAAGATCAGTGTTAAGTATCTTTTTTAGTGGTCTATGAATTTCTGTCCAGAAAGGTGTGATCATGGACACTCCCAGAATACATGCTAGTGATTGGCTTCCTGAAACCCACACTGTCTCCAGCACTCGGCGTCCCCTCCAGCGAAATGTGCTTTCTGTGGAGTGTGTGATTTTAGACAGCATCGCGGCATTGCAGAAGCAAAAAAGAGATGAGGGTTGTGACATTTTGCACAACGGCATTTGCCTTTAGTGTGACATATAACATATGTGTCAACGGCACTTTATAAACAATAACAACGCCATAACATGCTAACATGGTTCTCACAGTGTTTTCATTTGTTAACATTTGGAGGTGTAAGCTGTTTTTCAGAACAAATTATGCTTTTAAGAAGTGATGGGCACAAAATCGGCCATCTCCAAAAGTGTTGGGGTCATGTCCCCAGCGACCGCAGTGTAAATGACACCTATGTTTTTAGCTGTTAGTGTTGTCATCACACACATGTGCATCATACATGCAAGTGGCTCTCTTGTGTTTTTTTATTATTTACATTTGTTTTTGGGTGTTTTCACACTTGGTCCTTTTCAGCCCTCTTAAAGGGACTCAGAGCAGTGACTCAACATTTTTTGCACATATGTGAACACTCCAGGAGAGCTCAGACTCCTCTGAATGTGGTCTGAGTTCGGTTCACTGTGGTTCACTTAACATGTGCCTAGGCAACATGTGAAAACACCCTCAGTGTTTCTGATTCATTTTCTATTTTAATTTCTGTTGCGGTCATTATTCCCAGAATTGCATCATGCTGTTTTTTTTGTATTTGCTTGTCAGCCATCCTAATGTCATTCATCCAAACATGCTTTGCTTTTGTGTTTTCTGTTTGCCTGCCATCCATCATTTTGGCGCACACAGGCGATGACTGTAAAGGGAAGCAGCACTCAGAGACACACACCGTCCTTCTTACACAGTCCTCCAGGCCCCGACGCCTGGCGGGGGCACTGTGGAGCGTCCTAGCTTACACAGGTTAACCAGCCCTTCACTTATGTTCATGACAGCCTGTAAATATACTGTTACAAGGATATGTTCAGTGCTGATGAGTCTATAAGTCAGCCAGTCGTGCTGCAATTAAGTTTTCCTTCTTTCACTTTTTCCTCTAGGCCACTGTCTCCTCCAGCCAGGTTACTGTGTGGTGAGAGCAGGCAAAGCGCTGGGATCTGGGGTTGGGACAGTGGTGCAGAGGCTGCTCTCACTGTTCTGGATGCTCCTGGCAGCTCCAGGTTGGTGCCGCTTTTTTTATCCTCATCACTGATGTGTCTATTCTGCTTCTGCTTTTGGCAGCACGGTCAGATTGTGCTCTCATCCTCGGTCCATATGTGTTTTGTTTTTTGTTTTTTTACATATTCAATCTGCCCAGTGAAGGCAGGCAGGGGATTTCTGTGGTTTCTCGCGGCAGGATGGTACCAGCTGGTGTCTCTCATGTCTCTCCTCAACGTCTTCTTTCTGACACGGTAAGAGCTCTTGCCCCATTATCTCTCTGAACCTTCAGGTGTTGCAAAACACAGGAGAGAGAATCTGACATTTTTATCAGCTACGTTGTTTTAAAAATATTGGCGCAGCTGTATTTTGTATCAAACGGCTGTGTAAGGGGTCACTTGTAGTGATCAGCCAGAAGAGTTACAGCTAGAGTTGGAATGATTTCTGTTTTGCCAGTTTGGTCTGGTGTACAAGTTTAAACCAGTTTGTATCTGTGCAACCCGACTGAACCCATATTTGTTATTATGACACATTCAGGCAAATTATAAAGTAGCTTACTATTCCTTCTTTTCAGACTTTCTAGAAGGAAGTAGCAACAATCATTTAAAAAACTTTGGGTTTTAGTATTTAGTATGATGAATGAAGTAAAGATGATGTCTATCTACTAAAGATCCTGCTGGCAGCAAGTAAAAAAGACAAATACAAAATACAGGTATGTACCATATATGACACCAGTCTGGAATTTCTCAATTATGGGATCAATAAAGGTGTATCTTATCTTATCTTATTTTAAATGAGGAAAATTTGTCTTATGTCCTCGTGAACATCTCGTAAACGTCTTTTTTCCTCTGTACTGCTTTTCTTTTTTCTTATTCTTGTCTTTTCTTCCAGAATGTAAAGTGTTCATAAATTAAAATTAAAATTATTATTATTATTATTAAATTATAATTAAATTATAATTAAAATTAAAAGTATTAAAAAATATATATCGTATACTAAAAAATCGATACATGGCGTCCATGTATCGATAAAATATTGAGTAGTTTTGAATCATGAAGGTTTTTGTCTTTCTGAATTGGCACCATGTTCCCCTGTCAGCTGTGTTTTTACCTGACCAGTGTTTGACTCTGTGTTTCAGATGCCTTCCCAAACTTTGGAAGCTGCTGCTGCTCCTTTTGCCCCTGTTGCTCCTCCTTGGTGAGTTCATAAGAAGTGCGCTCTTCCTTTATCACCAGTGTAACCCATTTAGTGAGCACACACTGAGAAACATCAGTCTATAGAGGCAGTAGATGTCCTAACCAGCACGCCTCCCCAGAGTATGCTGCAAATCCAGCATAGGATTCAGGTCAGACTTTCTGGGCTCCTCATGAGTTACTGCACTCTGTGGTTCAGACTACGCACCAAAAGACATTTATTTTTTTTTTTTTTTCTGGTTACTTGGTGAACCACGTCTTCTTTTACATACTTGTCCCTTTAATCCTAGATTTTATTTTACTTTAAATCATTTTCAAGGGAGATAAAATTGTGGTTGAACTTTCACCATCTGTTGTCTTTATGCAGCTTTATGGTTGTGGGGTCCGTCCACTGCTGCCCTGCTCGCCTACCTCCCAGCCATAAACCTAACCGAGTGGCGTCCTGCATCCCCCCTCACCCTCCTGTCTAACTTGGTGCCAGCTTCTGCTCCAGCTCCTGCCTCAGTTCCCATCCCTGCACCAGAGACTCCAGTGGAGGTGACCCCAGCCACCCCAGTCTCACAGGCACCAGTAAGATACAGAGATGAAACACTGAAGAGCTTTTGCACACAGACACTGTATTTTAGAGATAAACAATGCCAGGGCTAGGCAATGTGGCCTATGAATTATATCATGATATTTGTAGGCTATATGGGAATACACAGTTTTATGTATTTTGAAATCTCCTTTATACTGTAGACTACTAAAATATTACACTACCAAATAAACTACTGTTACAGTTAAGTTACATAAGGTAGCTACTGTTATAATAAAGTTAAATAAACTTCTTGTGCAATAAAGTTAAATAAAGTATTGTTATGATCAAGTTGAATAAAGACTTGTTAAAATAAAGTTGAATAGTGTTATAATAAAGTTAAATAAAGTATTGTTATAATTAAGTTAAATAAAGTGCTGTTATAATAAAGTTAAATAAAGTGCTGTTATAATAAAGTTAAAGTATTGTTATAATTAAGTTAAATAAAGTGCTGTTATAATAAAGTTAAATAAAGTATTGTTATAATTAAGTTAATAAAGTAGTGTTATAAAGTTAAATAAAGTGCTGTTTTAATAAAGTTAAATAAACTTCTTGTGCAATAAAGTTAAATAAAGTACTGTTTTAATAAATAAAGTATTGTTATAAAAAAGTTAAATAAAGTACTGTTAATAAATAAAGTACTGTTATAATAAAGTTAAATAAAGTACTGTTTTAATAAATAAAGTATTGTTATAAAAAAGTTAAATAAAGTACTGTTTTAATAAATAAAGTATTGTTATAAAAAAGTTAAATAAAGTACTGTTAATAAATAAAGTACTGTTATAATAAAGTTAAATAAAGTACTGTTTTAATAAATAAAGTATTGTTATAAAAAAAGTTAAATAAAGTACTGTTAATAAATAAAGTACTGTTATAATAAAGTTAAAGTATTGTTATAATGAAATAAATCAAAGTGGAACCACAGGTGCTTTTATTCTGAAGGACTTGTCTTGGGTTAGAAGTGTTGATGTTTCTGCTGTGAACTCGAAGCTCCTGATCAGCAGTTAGCAGACAGTCAAACTGTGACCGTGGCACCGTTAAACATGACAGGTCATTCACTGTAAGCGGGAAACAAACTAACAGCTCTCCAGTTCACATATTAATAATATTTGCAACTTGCACTGGTGCTCCATGATCGCCAAATGTGACTTAATAGTGGCAGTGTGGAGCCGTGCAGATACAAAAACAAGTGCCTCACCTGCTCACAGAAGAGAGTGACTTGAGGAGTGTGTATGACATATACGTTTTTTTTTTTTTTTCTTTTTGTTTCTGCGAGGGGGAGAGAGCCACAGGAGGGTGGCTTAAAAAATGACATGACAATTTGCAGTCATTGTTTGCGATATAGTAATTCCATACATCCCACATGGAACAAGCTGCCAAGCATCAAGTGTAATCGATATATCGCCCACCCCTAATGCCACTGTGTGTCTGCTACAATGCAGCGCTGTCTTGGAGTCACCACAAATTTGTAACTTATTTTTCTTCATCTATTCCCATTTCGCCTCCACAGCCGTTCCTCCCCCCTGTGGCGGTCTCTGGTGTGGATTTGGAACGACTGGAGCGTGTGGAGCGCCAGCTAGCCCTGCTGTGGGAGCGAGTCCAGCAAGGTGACCAGAAACAGGAGCAGCATCACGGGGACATTATGGGTCTCTACAGCACCCTGAAGGAGCAGCTCCACACTCAGACAGATAGGGAGAGCCTGGGACTGTGGGTGTCCTCCCTGCTGGAGCAGAGACTCGGCGTGTTACGGGGAGAGCTGGAGCAGGAGAACACACAGAGAGCACAGGTAAATAGATGAGGATACGTGTCAAGGGAAGTTTTGATTAAAAAGCTGACATGTGTCTCACATACTTTATCTTTATCCGTGCTCCATGCAGAGTGCAGAGCAGCAGAAACAGCACCAGGAGGATCAGGCGACACGGCTGGCTGAATTAGAATTGCTGCTCAAGACTCTGAATGCCAAGACCCAGGTACAATTGCAGTGTTATTCAAATGCCTAATTGTCAATTACTGAGTTAGCCATAAAATATATAATTAAAGCTGCCAAATAATAAAGATAAAGGCAAACAAGCACAATAATCTATAATCGAGTACAGAATGCAAGAGTAGCAGTCAGATGGTAAACATTAACAAGGAACATGCATTCATACAAAGACTGCAGTCTAATTATTAACTACAAAAGCTGTCATAATAGCATGAAATGATGAGACACATACCGAAGAGACAACAAGTGTTAAAAACACAAAAGAAAATCCTGACAGGCTCAGACATGAACAGGTATGAAGACAGATCTGGTTGTGTTTGTGTCAGGATTTAAGTACGTACACAAAGGAACAGTGGTGCTGTATCAAATATCTAATGGGTGTGTGTTCCCAGGAAAATCTCGTTGTTTTAGGTTGCATTTTCTGTGCTATTTTCAGTCATCCTCCTTATGCGCGATATTTGTTGTAGGAGGTGCAACAGAAACAGCAGCGGTATGAGCACGAGAAGCAGGAGAGGGAGAAGGTGGTTGTCACTACAGCAGCGGACACAGTTCCTGTCAGGTACAAAAACCAGAGAGAAATAACTGAACCTTGAAATTCACATTGCTTTTTTTTATTATATATTCCCATTTTGTGAGAATATTCTCCCAGATAAAGGCACCTCACATGTGGATCTGTCTTTCACTCAGTGTGGGAGTGAAGCAGGAGGAACATGACGCTCTGCTGGCGGAGGTGCAGAGGCTTGAGGTGGAGCTGGGCAAAATTAGACAGGACCTGCAGGGTGTTCTGGGATGCAAGGGCAAGTGTGAGCAGTTGGACACACTGCAGGAGACCGTAAGTAACACAAGTATTGGCTTATCTTTGGGCTTTAAAGGAGTTGTATGCAGCATTCAGAGCATTAATGTACCAGCAAAGAACTATTTGCTATGTAAAGAGATAGTGGAGTCATGGCGTCCAGAGCAGAGAACAAAGTCACACTCCTTTTGTTTGCTCTAAATGTCACATACAGCTCCTTTAATTTGTCCTTACTGTGCAGATTAGTAATTTACTTTTCCTGTCATCCAGATCAGTCATTCATTTGATTCTTGTGCACCCTTGTCCCAGATATCAGCCCAAGTGTCCTCCCAGGTGCATAAGGAGTTGCAGACCCTGTTCTTTGGCAGTGGTGGGCCGGGACAGGAGCAGGGAGAGGTGCCCGAGTCTCTGATCCTCTGGCTGTCCCAGCGCTACGTGAGCACTCCCGACCTGCAGGCCTCCCTGTCCTCACTGGAGCTGAGCATCCTGAGAAATGTTTCCCAGCAGCTGGAGCTGAACCGGGCCCAAACTGTGGGTGAGGCCGAGGCCCAAGCTAAGACCATTGTTCAGACAGTAACCGGGACTGTCCAGCACACTGCTGCTGCTGAGGGAATGACGGAGGAGGTAATGAACATACACTGTCATCGCTGTGTATTTCCACCTCAGTTACATAATCTAAGATGAGCTCTTGTAAAAGATTTGTTTGCCTTGTGTTTGAGGCTCGTATTTAATCTTTACCTCTTGTCGTTTCGACCTCAGCAAGTGAAGGTGATTGTTCAAAACGCTTTGAGGCTCTACTCCCAGGATCGAACAGGCCTGGTGGACTACGCCCTGGAGTCTGGAGGTAAGAAGCAAGCCTCACATTGATATCAGCGCCCGTCCGTCTAAGTCAGTAGTTAACCCTATAATGGTCGGAAGGGATTAGCAAGATAGCTGCTCCATTACTCTGCACTTTGCTCTAATGTATGTCTCTTACGTAATGAGGGTGCAGGCATCAGTCAGGCTAGAGGACAACAGGGTATTAACAGCAAAAGCTCAGGCTCCATTGTCAGGCGTGTTATTGAGCAGTCTGTTGACCTATATGAGTGAGAGTAAGCATGGGTATTGAGCCTCATAGTTAAGACACACCCCATAATCACAACCACACTGGTGTGCTTTGAACTGCACATCCCCATATGTCCTGCCTGTCATTTTTAAAAAGAGAAGAAGTACTTGGAACTGTGCACACAGACTGTGCAGCGTGATTGACCCTCAACTCCACAATCATTATTAAGTATATTAAAGAGACCAATTATTATACATAATATAATATAATACAGTGTCTAATGTTGATATTAAAGGTGGCCAGAGTTTAAAATAATGAAGTAAATGCAGGTAAAATCCCTGTAAGCACAAACCTCAGGCTTCAGGCTGCTCTGAATACTGTTTCCTACAGTATATTGTACTGTAGCTTCAAGCTGACGTCAGCTTGTAATGGATTTCTTTATATGGTCATCTGCTCCATGCACGCTACCAAAAGTGCTTATATTATATAGGTGACACTGCTAAATGTAGCTACAGCCCAATGTCAGGGAAATATGTAGTCTTGGCTGCTGATGTTGCTCATTTCTTCCCGGGTTTTGAATCATATTCCTGTTGGCAGCTTGTGTTGAGAAGCTTTTATTGGTGATTTTTCACAGTAGATAGTTCCTCTACTCTCCGTTAATCATTCCCCGACTGCAGTCCTGGTCCAAAAACCCGGAAACACTGACCAGTCAGAGCAGACTGGGCTTTTTTAGAAGAGGGGCTTAAAGAGACAGGCACTAAAACACACCTTAGATGTCAACATGACAACTTCCATTAGATTTGATTTTATTTTCTGTCTTGCGTGACACACGCATTAGTGATGACGTGATTTTGAAGCACTAAAAAAAATGTATGAATTTCAACCAGATTAGGTGAACTGCTAATACTCTGTGTCCTCACTTGGAGAAAGAAAGTGGCGGAGCGTCGTTCCGTGCTCCAGCAGCACTACAGCCCTGAGTTTACAGCTTCCTCTCAACTTGTGTGTGTGTGTTCAGGTGGCAGCATCCTCAGCACTCGCTGCTCTGAGACATATGAGACCAAAACGGCCCTCATGAGTCTGTTCGGCCTGCCGCTCTGGTACTTCTCCCAGTCTCCACGTGTTGTCATCCAGGTGAGCCTCACCATGAGATATCCATTAGAGAAATGTCCATCTTATTGATTATGTGAAGTCAATTAGTTAAAGGATAGGTTTGCAATTTATCACATCTGTCAGGTGCCCATGTGAACTGGAGCGGGATTTATTCTTGTGCGGCAGACCCTATGCACATCGCCTATGCCATTGTGAGCATTTATACTTGTGCGGTGGTGTGTGTGTGTATATCTCTGCAGTTGCACCTCCAAAACACTAGTCGGTGGCCGAGGTTTCTGTGAAGCGCTGTAGAGTTTAGTTGATTCAAAACACACATTAAAAACACATTAAACATGGCTTAATAGAGACAATTTTAAACACAAGTACACAAATTAGCTTCACTATAACTCGCAGCACTTGTCTTTATCTGGACACATTTTCCCCACAAATACAACATGCTAACGTTATTAGCACAAGCCTATGGCATTTTACATTGCATACATTAGCCTAGCGACGAGCGGAGATTTCCTCTGCTCATATGAAACCTGGATAAATCCCGAAGTATAAATCACACACAAGACTTAAAATGCTATTTTAGTGGAGGCTTTACTGTCTTCACAATTCTTTCTTATCTGTGAAATAAATGTAAATAAAAGCTTTGTTTCCACTGAAGGAAATGGTGTCAGCTTACAAACTTGAACAGGTTTATGGTCATTTTTGGTTTATGAACTTTGAGTATTTAACCATTGTTGTTATTTCATTATTGAAATAATTAGTAGAAACACTACGCTACGCCACAAACTTATTTTGGCATTTCTCCCCTCACTTCCGCTCCTCAGCCCGATGTGTACCCGGGTAACTGCTGGGCATTCAAAGGCTCTCAGGGTTACCTGGTGATCCGCTTGTCCCTGAGGATCCTGCCCACATCCTTCTGCGTGGAGCACATCCCCAAGGCCCTGTCACCGACTGGAAACATCACCAGCGCCCCACGCAACTTCACCGTTTTTGTAAGAAACATAGGAACATAAAGCCTCACAACTTGACACAGTGATGAAGGCCTGATGTCACTGATGTTTGTTTGCATACAGGGTCTAGATGATGAGTATCAGGAAGAGGGGAAGCTGCTGGGGCACTACATATACGAGGAAGATGGGGAGTCACTGCAAACCTTTCCTGTTATGGTAACTAAAGATGCACCTTCTAACATGTGTAGAATAAAAATCTGTGTAATATCTATCAGCACATGTTGGAAATTCCCCCCTCCTCTTTTTCAGGAGCAGAATGACAGAGCCTTCCAGATCATTGAGGTGCGGGTGCTGTCTAACTGGGGTCATCCAGAATACACCTGCATGTATCGCTTCAGAGTCCATGGAGAACCTCGGCCTCAGTGAACCAACCACGACCGTACACACTCATATATGACATATCACCCTATCTGTACATAGCTCTCGCCAACTTCTTTAAAGCAGAGGGGACTCGGCAGTACTCTTTTTGTACGAAAGACGTGAAGACGCTGAAGTTGTGGATTGTTAAAGGAATGTGCCCAGACTGAATCGTGAAATGTGTTTTGTAATATTGAAAGAATCACAGGAAAGTCTGTATGTGAACTGTTGGTGATCACAGGAGAAGAAAAGAACCACGGAAGAAGCTAAAACTCCCTGTCCCCTTTCCATAAAAAGGCCTCTTGCACTGAATCAGCCCTTGAGGGGCGACAGGCTCCACTGAGCGGACAAATCCATCCCACTCTTGTCACCTTCCACTCCTACAGGGAGGTGGACACTTGAAATGGGGGGATTACAGACTCACCTCCACCATTTCCTCACACACTGCATCTCAGTCTTCGGTTTCTGTTCTCAATTCACGTCTATTCAACTTTGATTTCCTGTTAGTTTACTATTTTCAGGATCAAAGCCACCACACCTTTCGCCTGTGACGCTGTCCAGGTGTGTCACTCCCCTTGTCAAGTCACTGCAATGACTTTAACTGGGCTGATTGGGCAGCCTACCGGACCGGACCACACTCACAGCGGGTGTTTACTGGACATTAGGGTTGACTACATTCAAGGCTCGGCATCGTGCATCCATAGCCATATTTCTTTGTTTTGGAACTGAACATGCTGCCTATGGACAGGCTCTGAATGTTTCCTCTAGTGGAGGCTCGATGCAAATCATCCTTTAACTTCACAGCAACACTATATAACCACTGACCTGAGCTCTGTGTGTTCAGACTATTAGCAGGCTATTCACTATGTACATTAGACAAAATATGTGTATGGTTATGGACGGATTCCAGGATTAATTCTAGCATGTAACTCTTCCCGAACCATACTCTTGACTTTTACATGCATCATGGGTTTTTACACGTGTGTCTCCTCTCTAAAGGTTTAAGTCCTGTAACAAGGTCTCAAATTACTAATGACTGATGTCAAAAGCTAAATAATAATCACTAATATTTAGCTTTCAACATCTCACCGTTGAACGCTAAATTATATAACTATTCCTGTAGGCAAGAGTGTGATTTTTCTTTTTCGTTTTATAAAGAGGGGACTCTGTCTGTCTCCTAGCTCAGTTCTAAACGTCCTCCTCACGTGGGCTCGCTCTATTCTGAAACCCTGAAGGAATGTAATCTGTATATTTCATTGTTGATAGCTGGTCCTTTATAATATCTGCTTTTATCAGTGTTGCTTTATATAAATCATCCTGTCATTATCATGATTAATATTGCGTTCCTACCATTATTTCTACTGTTACTCATCGTGTTGTTTTGCTTTTTGTTTTGTTTTTGGGGCGGGGGGTTGGGTTGATGTCAGGATGCACTGCAACGACTTGTTAGAGAAATGTTTGTGGCACAGGTCTTCACGATTTGTTTAAAAAAAAATGGCGGGTGTGTGTGTGTGTAGTCATTAATTTGGGTTGCAAATATGGGGAAGTCTAAAATGTTATGTATAAAAAATGTTTTGTTCACAATCTTATTTATTAACAAGTCAATTAGTGACTGCGAGATATGAGTTACTGCAATGTATATTTTGTCAAAAAGCTCTTCAGTGCATTTTGGAACCATCTTGGGACTTTTTTTTTTTAAAGATAAATGGCTATTTTTGTTCAGTCATGAGATGACTTAACTGCTTTGGAATATATTCCAATAAAGACTTTAATTTTGAAAAACCTCTCTGAATAATATAACAATGGCTTAAGACTAAGATTGTTACGCTTTCCTCTGCAAAAAAAGCTTTAACCTTTGCTCTTTTATTATTGTAGAGAAAGTGCATTTCACAATGCAGTATTATTTTTGGGTTGATCCTTTATTTAGAGCCAACAATAAAAGATCTGACATCAAGAAGACTGAACTTTTTTATGGTAGAAGAGCTAAATTAGCACATCAGGGGTCAATAACATTTTCAGTGAAAGAAGCAAAATTAAGATCACAAGTGGTGTGAAACAAGAATCCCTTAAAATAATATTAATTACATTCTTATTTTAACAAAATGTTAGATTATGGTGTTTGATGTGTGGTACAATGATAGCTCTGTCTATTACTTTGAAAAGGTAGAAGGCCTTAACTAAGAAATTAAGCACACAACATCCTCTTTGTTATTTCAAATTAACATGCCGACTATTAAAGGTGTAAAGAGGTAATTCAGGTAATTTTTTAAACTTTAACTTATTTATTATGATTTCTTCTTATTTTTAGGCCCATTTCTTGTTAAATTGCTGATTTTCTTCCCATGTCTTTGAAAGCAATCAAGCCCCCTAGCTCAGGTTTTAAAGGGTTAAAACAGAGTTCTGGTTAAGCAGTCTACCAAATTTACTGGCAGATTCATATTTTCAAGAGTTTAAAAAATTAATTTTCAGGGTCAACTATGACGTCTAACGAAATGTTAACATTAAATAACATTAAATTTTATAGTGGCGCAAATGTCATTTTTGTATCTTTATTGCAGCATCAGTTGGTCATCAAGCCTGTGTTTATATCACGGTATCTGCTGCCTTCTAGCGGTGAGTACCGGAACAACGGAATTAGGGGAGAAGCACTGTTGTGTGGCATAAATTGCACCGTTCAGGTACGTTTTACCCCACATTATGCAACCTGTAACGTTAATGTGTTATACTTTGATTATTATTAGTGTCAGCATACCGTAAAGTTTCCAATGTCAGCCTTTCTATGTATATGAATATCCGGTGACCTATTGAGTTGTATTCCAGAAACTGTTTATAAAATATTTTAAGTTATTCTTTTGTTCATTGTTCTGTTTTTAAACACCTTTTGATAATTTTTTATTTCTTAAATTGCTCTTCTATCTCCCAGCGCCCCTCCGCTCTTGTAATCCCAGTTTGTGTTTACACCGGAAGTGCCAGGCATGACTACTTCCTTGACAACCTAACGAGCCCCTGGCAACCACCGGAGAACGGGCGGAATATGGCGAAGAAAATAAGTGACAAAAAATCTCTTTGGCAACAAATATGTGACGGTAAGATGATAATATTCTGTTCGCCTAAATGTCTACGAATTGCAAACATTAAAATCAAACTGTTTTTTTTTTGTTTAATTTGTCTTCGGAGAGTATGAAGCTGAGCAGCCCAGTCCTCCCAGTGCTGTGAGGGCGGACGTTGACCCTCTCCTGAGCCACCCTGCTCTCGCTGGCAATGCTGTGTTGGGAAAACCTCGTCCTTCCAGTCAGAGGCGCCCATCAACACCTGAAACTGCACCCCCTCCTCAGCAACATGAACGTAAGGTCTCAGTCTCCCGGGGGTACACATATGGGGTGCCGTTTGTAAAGTGGCTCACGCTGAAAATAACATCAACATTTTGCCACATTTAGCTTCAACCAATGTTTAAAAAAGTGTTGTGAATTTTTTAACGTCACCTTTTACACTAACAACTCAAATTACACGTCAAATAAAATTTTTCCAAACATGTTTCTTGTTATTTTAGGTGGTTATTATCACGCTAATGTATGTTCAAGTGTCCATTTCCCCCGATAAGTTGGTTTTAATTCGTTATTTGATTCTATAAATACAGTCTGACCATCTCGAGCTTTTATTTTGGTACTTCCGGTGACCGGCAGTGTGAATTTGCATATTAGCTAAATATTTAGTTTCACCCAGAACATTTAGATTTAACATTTAACATTTAGATTTATATTTAGCATTTAGATTTAGATTTAATATTTAGATTTAGATTTAGATTTAATATTTAGATTTAACATTTAGATTTACATTTAGCATTTAAATTTAGATTTAATATTTAGATTTAGATTTAGCATTTAGATTTAACATTTAGATTTAATATTTAGATTTAACATTTAACATTTAGGTGCCACATTTAATATTTAGATTTAACTATTTAATATAGTTCTAAGTTAACAAATATTGCTATAAATGTGGTAAAAGGTGACGTTAAAAAATTCACAATACTTTTTTAAACATTGTTTGAAGCTAAATGTGGCAAAATGTTGATGTTATTTTCAGCTTGAGACACTTTACAAACGGCACCCCATATACACACACTGTTAGTTTTAGATTTTGAAAGCTTTTAACACATTTTTTTAATGGTTTGAAGTTGTGAATTTTTGTCTGGGACAAGGGTGTTGTCTGGCACAGGGCAAGTTTAGAAGTTTAAAAAAGGAAAGTATTTCATGTAAATAAATAAATCCTTTAAAAATAACGTTTTACCCCAGAAACATATTTAGTGTGTTGACTGGTATTATACAACAGTTAGTTCTGACCGAGTAATTTGATTGGACGAGAGGCATTCCGTGAGTGCTGATATAGAGTATAACATCACTGGGACTTGTAACAGTAAAATCACTCCGCTCACAGGTGTTATAGCCTAATACAACCATTAATTATCCAACTGTAACACTTGCTACATTGACGCAAACTGACACTAGCGTTACACCAAGAAGATGGATATTTTCCCCAAAATTACATTTGAATTAAATTATGAGTGGTCGTCAGGAGAGGACGAGGAAAAGGAAAGCCAGGACTCTTCTGTGCAGACCTCCAGGTGTGTTTGTTTCTTTTCGCGGAGCTACATAACATACTTAAATCATTTATTTCATCACCTTTTGTTAACATTTCCTTACTCAGCATTGCTGTTTAAGCTGTTGTTGAACTGTTGTATAAAAGCAATATCACACTCGAGGTCGTGATGTTGTACTGTATATCGTCATGGCTGTGAATCGGAAGACAATTACATATATACAGTACAATATCACTCCCTCTCGATATTGCTTAAATAAGAGCACAATACACTGATCCATGTAAAAACAAGATGGCAGCCATCTCTGCCAAGTCAGTCTGCAGCTGATCCCGATACAAAAGTAGACAAGATCCAAAACCTGATCACATTTTATTGTTGAAACTTATTTATTTATGACTTTTAATCATCACCATTTTGTCAGTCTGGATCTGGAAGGCCCACGGGATCTTAGCTCTGTCATTCTCAACCACCTTAGGAGGTGACCTTGGGACTTCCAGCCCATACTCAGTGCAGATGTTCCTGTACACTATGCCAGACACTTGGTTATGGCGCCCCATGTACGCTGTTCCTTCCTGCATCTTACACCATGCTATTATGTGCTGAAGTGTCTCAGGAGCATCTTTGCACAGCCTGCACCTGGGGTCCTGTCTGCTGTGGTAGACCCCTACTTCTATCTGTCTATCCATCTATCGATATATCTGGGGAGGTAGTCCCCCCCGAATATATGATAATATCTACCTTGCCATAGAGTATAAATGTCTGTTTGTTTCAGGTCCTGTCATATGTTTTTTGGAGAGGAGAGTGTTTCCAGCGTTGTTGCCAGGACTGGAGGCTCTACTGAAAGAAGCACAGAAACATGGCTGTTTCGAGGTTTGAATTTCTTCTGATAAACATCTAACTAACAAGCTAACTACAGTCAGCTGATGTTGTCAGAATAACCACAGATAAATTTTAAACTCTCAAAAATTAAAGGAGTTTATGTGCTTGGTTGCGCTGTCTGTCAGGATGAATATATATGATTTACTCAAGAACAGTGATTAAGTACTTGTAATTTACTTGAGTGTTTTCATTTCCTACTTTCTCTGTCTTTAAACTATCCACAACAAATCTGATGTAGATGGTGCAATTTTTACTTCACCACATTTTCACTGTAATAAAAATTTGACATACAAATGATATGATCATCTCATTAAATCTGCTCCATAGTTATATGTATATTAAATTACCCAGTAGTATATGAAGTTGAATACTTTACACATTACTGCATCCATAATAGTCACCCAGTGATGTGAATATAATGTAGCATTGACAGGGAACAAAATAAGTGCACTGTTCAGTTTTAACACTTTAGGTGTCTGTTGTTGACCACACAGCTTTTACTAGTGAGATTTTAACCTGGAACAGAGTATTATATATTGTTGTATTGTTACTGTATGCTGAATATGTCTGCATGGTGCATGACATGGATTATTTGCTTTTGTGTTGCAGAGGAAAAAAACAGCATTTAACCCTTGTGACTTCCTGTCGGAGTGGCTCTACAAGTAAGNCACACACACACACACAGTTCTCATATGTCATATTTTGATATATGTGCCAAAAAAAATTGTGTTTGTGTGTCATGTTTTTTTGGGGGGTTTTTTGTCCTCCTTCACTCTTCCTCTTTCTTCAGCCATAACCCCTGCAGGCAAGAACAGGTCCCAGTGAACTTCCATGACATCCCTTTTGTCAAGGACTGGCTCAGCATGCAGTGAGTGTCTCAGCCTCTCACCTGACACACACACACACACACACACACACACACACACACACACTACAGCTGTTAGCTATAAAGTCATTGTTTGTCAAAAAATACAAATTTATCTGCAGTCTTTTGGGACTCTGTGGTCACCAGGTTCCTGTTCACTCACAGTATAAAACAAAGATTAAATTCAAGGAAAGCAAACATGCAAAACTAGATTTAAGTTATGAAAACTCACAAGTCACAGATGCATGCTGTGGTTTTTTTATGCAGATGATGTGACACCCCTCCTGTTTTGTCTTCTGTCCCTTGTATTCTTCAGTCCCAGGCCTCCCATCCCTCTGTTTCTGCAGCTGAGCGAGGATCAGGCTGCCCTGCTCATCCAGGCTTTCTGGAGAGGATACAAGGTGCGCAGGATATTAAAGGACCGGGACTAGCCTTTAAAAATATGGAACATAAACATCTAAAGTCTAGGAATATAAGAGGGTTTTTTTGAAATTTTGAAGATAGAAAGCTTGAAGGAACCCTGCAATTACCCCACACACCACAGTGAGCCTTCCTGTGTGTGCGCGTGTGTGTGGGTCTGTTATCCTTACAAACAATAGGCACCCTCCTGCGTGTGCATTGGCCCACAGTGTGATCTTGTTGTATAATCCCATCCCGCTAAAAAGCCCCTCTTCCACAGGGGACTGCAATTTCATTCAGCAGCTTGATTATGTCATCAGTGATGGCAGGATTTAATTCCTTCCTGTGTGGGCGTTAAGGTCTGAAGTACTCTGTGCTGTGATATAAATAGACATAAACAGACACTACCAAAGGGAAACAGCAGCAATTTCTCCACTCTCACACACAGATATGCCCAGTCTCGTATGCTGCAGGGATTTAAGCAGGGGTTGTGTTTTTGTTTGTCTCAACAGAAGTGCTTATTTTTTTCTGTTTCTTAACCTCGATGCTTTTGGGGGGATTCAGCTTCAGTGTGGCTGCACAAACCATTGAAAGAAAAAGATGCCAGCTGTGCTGTCATGTACAATTATGTTCTGTTTGAATGATCTGAACATTTGTGCATGTAGTTGAATTTGTGGGTGTGTGCACAAAAAGAGGCATTCAGTGTGTGTGTGTGCTTGCATCCATGTTCAGGCTACTTTTGCACCAGCAGGGGGCAACACTTCCTCTTTCTTTCTTTTTTTCTTTGTCTGTAACAACAACAAAAAAATCAGCTCACATAAGGTGGCAGCAGTGAGCTGGCTGCCTGTCACTCCTCACTTTGTTTACCCTGAACTAAGAGAGGTTCAGCAGGGCTGCTGATAGCACTGCAGCCCAGCACCCCTGAGGGATTTAGAGGAAGAGAGACGCAGCCACAAAGAGACAGTAGAGAGAATGGGAGGATGAAGCTCAGGCTATGTTAGGAACATTTTCAGATGGATGGGCGAATGACAGAAGGGAGGAGAGAGGCAAGATGGTGTTGCAGAGTGTTTTAGGGAGCGAGATGCAGCCTCCGAGACACGCAGAGAGGCTGTGAATGCAGCTCATCAGGGTCCGAAGTTGAGGGTGTGCATCTTAAGATCATGACTTATTAAAGGTACACAGGGTGGAGATATTTTGGGTAGGTACTGAGGCAAAGTCCTGACAGGCATTGTGGTGTATCATGGCTGCTGTTACCTTGGCCCAAGAAAAACAGCAGTTAACAGCTCAGCGTGCAGCGGAGCAGAGATGAGGACATCAGCACAAACAGAGTCATCTGTGAAGCACTGATGCACTGCAAAACTTTTAGTTTCTGTGTGTTTGTGTCTGCTGGCATGACAATGTGTATGCACTGTATGTGTTTTTCACAGTGGATCTGATAATTCAGTATCATCTCCCACTGTAAATGTATTTTAACAAAACTTTCATGTCAAGATATTTATTTATTTGGCATTTTTACCGCTTTAAATCACCAGGTCCATTTGTTGTAGTGAGAAAAGCCTCATTTCCACCAAGCAGTACGATACGCTTCACTTCAGTTCGGTATGCTTTTTTTCCCGTTTCCACTGTGAAAAGTTGTGGATGGTACCAATGGAACCATTCCGTACCCTCCCAAATTTTGGTTCCCCCTCTGTTGGGGTACCTAGCACACAGATCTGATTACTAAAAGGTGGAGCTGTGAACACTGCAGTCTGTTGATTTGTCAGTAGTCTGTCTGTGACAAGCCAAACAGCATCGAAGAAACACCAATTTTTAATGTAAAATCACTTTATTCAGTGTTTTTACTAGTTTGTTTTAGAGAGGACAAAACCTCTGTTGATAACTCAACTCCAGGTAAAAACCTCCTGAACAATGAAGGCTGAAGAAAATCTGATTGGGTGAAGTTTCAGCTGGTTGCAGTCTGCATTCCTCGCCACTAGATGCTACTAAGTCCACCTAGACCTTTCACAGTGCTCCTTTAGCATATAAGTGGACAGTATATTTCACCATAATCTGTCCTAACTGTTAAATCCTTGAGAATATTTTTGAGGGTTTATAATAGGAGTATAATAGGATTATGGGATTTTGCTGTAGAAAAACACACAAAAAACAATTCGCCTCACGACCAACATAAGTTTTCTGTTTCCTTTTTGAATACTTCATAAAATATAGTAACATATAGATGTCTAATGCTCTAATAATAAGAGCTTTATCCGGACTGCACACCTCTACCTTTATCAATATACTCTGTTCTCTTCACCCCCCTCCACACACCCTCTCTGTTTCCCCCTCACTCTTACACTCTCTGCTGTTATATAACCTGCCTGACGCAGCGCTGACTGCAGAGGGTGTGTGTGGGTGTGTGTGTGTGTGTGTGTGTGTGTGTGTGTGTGTGGGTTCATAAGACAGACAGACAGACAGACTGAGGGGCAGGAAGCAGGGAAGAGTCTTTTTGTAGCCTGGAATTTTATCCCTCCATTATTAATCTCTTTCTCTTTCATCAAAACATATTGAGGACTGAAGAAGAGCAGCGATCGAGATAGTTCATGCACACGCACACGCACACATACACATACACATACACACACACGCACAAACTCACATCTATGACCCAGACAATGTGATTGTCTGTTGTTTCTCTCCTGTACAACTATGAAGAGCTGCTCGGTCTAAACATATTACATAATCTTCTTTTCACTGTGTGCCTTAGCCCAACTCTAATCCATTCATCCATGCCTGCTACTGTAATGCACACATATGTACACACACACACACACACACACACACACACACGCACACTGCTGATCACTAAGGCTTCTCAGGCTCTCTCAGGTCTGGTCAGCTGAGTTGGAGTAATGTGGCTGCTGCGTAATAAATAGGCATTACAATTAGGCTGTCAGTACAAAGGCTATGTGGTGAGGAAGAGGAGCAGGCTTTTATCATAATCATTTCCACTCATCTATTAAGTGTGCACACACTGTGTTTGGCCTTTTCCCGGCCATAGCACCACACTGTCTGAGCTGCGTCACCCCGTCTAACCTCACCCAGCATACTAAATTCTGTCTAAAGATCTAACTCAGGTGAGACGAGATGTTTGTGATTGGTTTTCTTTTGTTTGTTTTAGAAAATTTAAAGGAATAGTTCCACATTTTGAGAATTATGTTTGTTCACTTAAGATGAGAACTGTATGAGAAGATCAGCACCACTCTCCAAATATGTGTCAGTATGCTAAATATGAAGCTAACGTCAGCAGCCTGCTAATTTAGCTTAGCACAAAGACTGGAAACAAGGAAACCCCTAGCTTAGCTCTGCTGAAACGTAACAAAATCCACCTTCTAGCAACTTCTAAAGCTGACAAATTAACATCTATGTCTTGGTTTATTTAATCCATACAAATAACTTTGAAAATGACAAGATAAAAAAAGTAGTCCTGCACAGAACCTCTCATAAGGTGAATTGATGTTTGTACTTTTTGGTTTTCATACAAATTAACCTTTTGAAACCTGGAGTGACGTCACTTTTCTTGTACTGCTTTCAGATGCATTTTGGAAGTATTTAAACCTTTAAACCCTGAGCAAATTGAAATGATTTATCTCAAGAACATGGAGAAAGGCAATGAGCAACTTGGTAAGAAATGTCCCACAAATTGCAAAAAAAAATTATAGGAAAATATAATAATTTTTTAAAAAAACAGGGAAAAAAGAAAAAATATAGGAAAAACTACAGTATATTTATGAATATTATTATTACTATATTTTAAAATTATGTCAGAAGTTTTAATGTTTAAGCACACTCCAGGTTATTTCTTTTTAACTTTCGTTCTTTCTTTACTAATGTTCTTGTTTTTAATTTTCTCTTTTGCTAATTTCTTGCTAATTTTTGGAGGTTATGTTTTCTTCTATTACTCATTGCCCTCTCTTCCCATGTATTTAAATGGAATCAAGCCAGTTTGCTTCGGTTTCAAAGGGTTAAACAAGAAAGAGTTTGTTACCTAGTGAGCTTTGTTAAAAGCATGTTAAAATGTTGGTAGGTGAATTTTGCTCATGCTTAGCGTAGTTAGCTAGCCGCTGACAATAGCTTCATATATTCATATATTTGCTAGTTAAATACAAAGCTACAATTAACTTAAGTAAACTTAGCATAAAGGCTGGAAACAGAGAGAACCATCTTGCCTGGCTCTGCACAAAAAATGAGTGTAAAACAGACAATTCACTTTACTGTGCTGACATTAGGGTAGTATCGATTTTCTCATCTAACTCTCCACAAAAATGTCAGTAAGCATATTTCCCAAAATGTTTAACTACAGCTCTAAAATCTCAAGTTGTCTTTGTGTACATGGCCATCTCTGTGGCAAAACTGCTCATACTGTACATTGTAAGTACATTGCCATTTACATTGTTTGTAGATATAATATGCTGAATTTTCCTAAAAGGCAATGTATAGACTCATACCGAATTATCTCAGTTATCATGTCTGACTTACTAGAAATGTGTGGCGAGGTATATATCTGCAGAGATTTTGCCCTCTGCCTGTATGTTTGGGGTGTCCATGGGTATGAGCAATAAAATGTCTGAGGAACGTCTTCTTGGGTTAGCAGGTAGAGCTGTGTATTGGCAAGAATCTGGCAAAGTAACATTGCAATATTTCGGTAATCTATTTTCAGGAAAACTGTCGATGCTAGCAGTATGCTTGCCATGACTCTGCCTGTTTCATAGGCCTGTGTTTTTTGTGTTTACTTGCAATATATTGTGACGTTGGAGTAGAATACTCGAATGGCTGAAGATAGTTTGCATGTAAACTATTTGGGTGCTTTCACACCTGCCCTGTTTGGTTCGGTTCAATCATACTCAAGTTTGTTTGCCCCCTAAGTGCGGTTCGTTTGGGCAGGTGTGAACACAGCAATCGCACTCAGGTGCGCACCAGAAAAACAGGACTGAGACCTTCTTGAAGAGGTGGTCTCGGTGCA